CTTGTCTGAATGTTTGAATTCTTTGTTTTTCATGTCACACATTTGTGTTGAGAAACCAGTTCTGCAGTTGAACTACCTGACAGCAGCAGTTTGAGAATTATGTGCTACAATACAGTAAAAAGACTTTTGTAATGTAGTCACAACATATTGTCACAGCATTAATTTAGATGCTGAGTAAATATAATTATGATGAAAGCAAGTAGCCTCATATTGTTACATTTAGTTTGTTCATGATTGTGAGTTATTTGATGATTGTGACATTACAGGCCTATTTACTTGTCATTGAAATTTTTCCACATAAAGAGATGTGCAAGTTATTCCCAAATCACACAATAGATTTTATAATATGAACATAAGATCACAACATTGTATTGTAATCAAGGAATAATTATTTTGTGGTTGCAGGAAAGTTTGCTGGGTGAAAAATTATTACTCACCTGCCCACTGAGGCGCTTTCTAGTGTCATCTCTTACATGGTCTACAGTACATTACTCCCATTCCCATTTCAGTCTACTCACGAATTTACAACTTACAATTTACAACTGCAAATACTTTTGAGCAAATTTAGAATTTATTATGGTCTTTTTCAAATGTAAAGATAAGTGTCTTGAGCACCGGTCTAATGTTCTGTTCATGTATAGTTTGCAGCAAGATAGATAATCATTTTAATCATTAATCATTTAATCATTTTTTTCAGTGAAAATAAAAAAATAACCATTCTCACAATAGGATTTTTTTGCATATCATTCAGCCCTATTGCGATGACAAGTAAATAGGCCTCCAATGTCAAGATTATTAAAAAACTCTCACAATCATGAGTAAACTAAATGTAACAATAAAAGGCTACTTGCTTTTACGATGGTTTGGCCACTAACAGGCCAAAGGTCTTTAACCTGACTCCCCAGAGAATTGAGAAAGATGGCTCTGCACGGTTGGTTGGGCTCCGTGATTGCTGTGTCACTTGCAAAATCTGTTTATTTCCTTGCCTTGGTAAAGCCTACTTTGAAATCCGGGGATGCTGAAGTAATTACCAACTATTACCAAACTACAACCAATTAGTCTTCCTGTGCTGTCCAAAGTGCTGGAGAAAGTTGTTTCAGAACAACTTACTTGGAGACAAACAATTATCTGCACCCCCTACAGTTTGGTTTCAGACATAACCACTCCACAGAGTCAGCAACCTGTTTATTGCTAGAAAACATAAAACAGTCCCTTGACAAAGGTAATGTGGTAGGCGCAGTGTTTCTGGATCTGAAAAAGGCATTTGATACAGTAAACCACAGCATTTTAATCTCAAAACTTTCAATGTTAACCTTGTCATTATCTTGGTTTGACTTGTAATTAAAGGGTTGGGAATAGTGTGTTGTAATTAATAACATCAAGTCTGCTTTCAGCAAAATCGGTACATGAATCCCCCAAGGAACTGTGTTGGGTCCCATCCTTTTTAGTTTGTATATCAACAATTTGCCAGATACATGTCCTGATATAGGTCTTCAGATGTATGCTGACGATACAGTTGTCAGTGATGATGTTGCAAATAAGCTAACCAAAAACCTAGAAAAAGTTTCAGCTTGGCTTGATGCCTCCTGTTTGACACTAAATGCAAAGTCTATCTATTTTTCTTTTAAAAAGCAATCTGAAACCAAATCCCTGAACGTTAAAATTAAAGGTGAACTTATCGAACAAGTACCAGAAGTGAAGTATCTGGGGATTTTAGACTCGCAGTTCAATTTTAAAAGTCACACTAAAAAGATTTGCAAAACGATTAAGGCTAACCTTACCTATTTTAAGATGTAAAGAAAATGCTTGACATTTGATTTGAAGTACGGACAACCAGTGGAAACTCAGACTGATAAATAATTGTACAAATTTTCAAATTATTATTTTGATTGTTTGATATTTTAGTAATTGTTTTGTTTTTACATTTGATAATGATTTCTTTTTTTTATTATTATTTTAATCAATTAATAAATTGTTATATTTTTTGTCTATTAATACACACACACACACACGTTTACTGTTTTATTTATTTATTTAATATAAAATTTTTTATATATAAAATTTTTCTAACACATACACACATACGCTTTAATTACTTTACGCTTTAATTACTTGTTTAATGAAATGTATCATGTTGATTTTTCTTATGTAGTTTGTATGATGCTTTGGCAATATTGTTGTTACACATTCATGCCAATAAAGCTAATTTGAATTGAATTGATTGCGCCTTGATGTTTCTAAATTCAATGATACTTTCTCATCTGTCTTATTGTTTAACTACCTGGTCCCAGCCCAGTCAGTCTGTGATTAAATCTATGGAGTGTCTTTACAATCAAGCCTTGAAAATTCTGGACAAAAATCAGGTCTCATCACTGTCGCATTTTAAGTAAATACAAGATTTTAAGTTTTGCAAACTTTATTGATTTTCATTATGTAAAGCTTGTTTTTAAATGTTTCAATGGACTTGCTCCTCAGCCTCTCTGTAAGTACATTAAGAGACTTCAGAGTAACAGCAGATCCACCAGAACATCTTCAAGTGGCAATTGTAAAGTTTCATTTTGCAAAACTTATTTTGCTCAGACAGCCTTTTCTGTGAAAGGAGCTAAGTCTTGAAACTTGCTACCTAAATACTTGAAAACTGCTGCAAACTTCACCACTTTTAAAAGAGAGGCCAAGTCCTGGTTGGTTCAGCAACAAACTTGTCTAGTCTACTGTAGTTAGTGTTACATGTTTTTCATAGCATTTTGATGTCTACTCATTTTACCTCCTTTTATCTTGACTTATACTGTAATGTATTGTATTTTCTTTTTTTTCATCACTGTTTTTATGTTTTAAAGTTTTATTTCTTTAAAAAGCCCTTCTAGGGAGAGGTGTTGCAAATTAGCAACTGCTAAAAACACTATTGTATACACATTAGATAGCTGTTTTCAGTTTATCTATGTTAGATGTATCGGTCCCTCAGCCTCTAAATTGTTGACATTGCAGTGACAATCATCATTCAAGATACTTTCTTTTCATTTGCTAAAGGAATGGGAGGAACTCTCCCTTTTGGTATGCTTATTGAACTGTGGTACATACCATCATCTACCGTCTGGTACATCCACAAAAACTGGTTTGACTAACTGTCATCATAAAAAATAAAAATGAAAGAATTCCAACTGACACAGACAAACCACGTACATTCAGATATTAAATATGGAAAGAGTCACCAATTTTGCTGGTTGTGATAGCAAAAACTTTAGTGGATAGGTCTGTCTGCAGAGCAATAACACTTCCTCTAACAATATTTGGTCTATAGCTGAAATTCTTAATCAGGTCACAGAATCTGATGTGGGAACCTCTTACAGCAGTGTGCAGGTGTGTAATAATTTCTCACACAACAAACTGGTTTCCTGTGACAAAATAATTATTCCTTGATCACAGTGTTAAGATTAACATAAGATGGCAACTTAACTGTAACTATTCTAGTCTACTGTAGTTAGTGTTACATGTTTTTCATAGCATTTTGATGTCTACTCATTTTACCTCCTTTTATCTTGACTTATACTGTAATGTATTGTATTTTCTTTTTTTTCATCACTGTTTTTATGTTTTAAAGTTTTATTTCTTTAAAAAGCCCTTCTAGGGAGAGGTGTTGCAAATTAGCAACTGCTAAAAACACTATTGTATACACATTGGATAGCTGTTTTCAGTTTATCTATGTTAGATGTATCGGTCCCTCAGCCTCTAAATTGTTGACATTGCAGTGACAATCATCATTCAAGATACTTTCTTTTCATTTGCTAAAGGAATGGGAGGAACTCTCCCTTTTGGTATGCTTATTGAACTGTGGTACATACCATCATCTACCGTCTGGTACATCCACAAAAACTGGTTTGACTAACTGTCATCATAAAAAATAAAAATGAAAGAATTCCAACTGACACAGACAAACCACGTACATTCAGATATTAAATATGGAAAGAGTCACCAATTTTGCTGGTTGTGATAGCAAAAACTTTAGTGGATAGGTCTGTCTGCAGAGCAATAACACTTCCTCTAACAATATTTGGTCTATAGCTGAAATTCTTAATCAGGTCACAGAATCTGATGTGGGAACCTCTTACAGCAGTGTGCAGGTGTGTAATAATTTCTCACACAACAAACTGGTTTCCTGTGACAAAATAATTATTCCTTGATCACAATGTTAAGATGAACATAAGATGGCAACTTAACTGTAACTATTCTGTGATTAGGGAATAGCTCTCGCACCTTCTTATGGGAAGATAGCAAAATAATGTTTTCTTTTAAAGACTGTGAACAATTAATCAAAATATTATCCAAATCGCAACATGGCTAAGTGCAAAATCCAAATTGCAGAAGCAGCAATTTTTTAATAAAGGTAAAATATGTTGCAACATACAATTTAAACAAAGCATTGTGGTGCTACAGAGATCTGTAGAGATAGGAGATAAGAATCTCCTACCATGTTCCATAACACATTATAACTCTGCCTTGTTATGAATACACTTTACTCACCATTTACAATTAGTGATATAAAATGGAATAATAGCTTATAGTAATGTTTAATGTTATATAGCATGTCTTTGTTTGCTTTAAGTAAAGTGTTAAAATATCTATCACTGTATAATATATTACAGGTGGACATAATACCATATGAACTAATTATAAGACCTTATAACACGTAATTGTTTGCTTTAAGTAAAGTGACACGCATTTTGCAGGAAAACAACTTTTATTTATGTTTCTTCACTTCATGAACAATCTGTATGAATTTTGAACATTTTGCAGTTTAGCACAAAAACACAACATAATTACATCAAGAAAACTCATTGCCAAATCTTTTTATCATTTTTATTCTTTTTTTAGTGAAAATAAATTGCCAAAATAACCATTCTCAATAAAATTGTGACTCATATTGAAAATGAAAATGAAAGAATTCAAAACGACTTGTTTTTTTGCCACAGTAACAGGTCAAACAGGTAAAGACAGTAGTACCCTTGACATGGAGCATTATAAAAGACATTGCCACAATAGATAGACAGTCTACAAGGCGACATCAAGACCAAAGGTACAGTATAGTAATATCTGATTATTATTGGTAATGTTAAATAAAACAAACAATTTGACACAAGTCACATTTTTGTATTTTTATAAACTCATCATCTAATTTAATGTTATGACAGTTGTTGTGTCTACATTACAAAGTCATTTTGAAAAGTATTTTTATTATTTAGTTTCAAAACAATTAAGTGACTGTTTCAGTGATGTTCATTCAAAATGTATAATAAGTGTTTTGAATGCTTATAAAATGACAAGGGCTTCTCTTTAGTTGTCCTTTCAACTTTCAATGTCATTTGACCAGAAAACTAGATACATTTTTACGTGCATTTAAAATGATGGTATGAAATCAGGAGAGCTGCAGTGTCTGTAATTACAAAATGTTGTGTTAATGTGAAATAATGAGTTGTTGTAGGTGTGAGGTGTGAGATTCTCTAAAGCCTAGTTCACACTACACGATTTTTAGCCCGATTTGCCATTCTTTCATCCATATTCTTCTGTGTTAATTTTGACATTAGTACAAATTGACACCAGTAAAATAATCTTTTTTTTTTTTATAATTTCTGCTGTGTCTGTCAGGCAGGTTGTGCAATGATGTCTGGGTTGGCTGCTCTGTGTCTCCTGCTCCTGCAGACTGGAATTTTGGGGTTTAATATCGTATTTGATGGAAACTCTCTGAGTCATCAGGAAATCACTCAGATAGCGATCTTAAAAACCACCGTGCAGGTGTGCCAAGCTCTGGCCTTGGCTGAGGGCAAAAACTTCACTTTTCCTGTAAGGATGAAATTCAACCAAATTATATTGACTATTTCACCAGAGCCTGTATTATTAATAAATGTGATGTGCCACTACAATAATGTGTGTGTGTGTGTGTGTGTGTGTGTGTGTGTGTGTAGCCGCAGCCTTTTACCGCTGAGTCTGTCGCTGATGCCTGTCAAGCAAATTCATCCAACAGCTTCATCCAAACAATCAATTTAATCCAAGACAACAATCGAAATGTAGACATTGAGCATTTGTCTGACCCACCCTATCACTTTGACCGTGAGAAATTTTCTGAGGGAAGAAAAATCATTACAGATGGATTATCAGCTGTGAAGGCCAGCAACAAGTTACAGAACTTTGAGGCAGCAAGAGAACAACTGGGTGCAATCTTACACACTTTACAGGTACTTTCTACTCGTTTTGTTTCCATTTTAAGTTTCTCACACAAATGTTAATCAGGTGCAGCAGTGTTATGCCATTAGTCAGTGTGCAAATGTATCAAAACTGTATGCAATGCCATTTGTTTTAGTTTTACAACCGCCCACCAAATCTTTAAAAGAGCTTAGTGAAGAGTTTTGAAAAAAGAATGTTGGTACTAAAAGATAATGAGAGATGCTGTTTTTGACATGTTGTAAATATGTAACTTGTCTTCCTTTTTCAATAATAGGATTTCTACAGTCATAGTAACTGGGTGGAAATGGAAAACACACTCCCAAACTCCAATCTGATCAGATCAGACACCAGCATCGGTAACATTGCAGGTAATAGTTCATGTGACGTCAGTGTGTTTGTCTGTCTTACCAAAACGAAAAAATACAGAGATGAAGAGAGATTTGATGTGATTAGAGAGATCATTTTACTAAACTAAACACTGATAAAATATCTTGAAAATTTTCTTTCCCCATAGCTGAAAGCAGAGCAACCTGTCGCAACTGTAATGGAGACGACTGCACAAACAACATTTTGGAGGACATCCTGCAGGAAAAGATACTTATCTCTGGATATACTGGTGTTTCCAAACCAATCGGTAAATTACCCACCTTTCTGCATACCTAAAGAATTGTGTTTAAATTAGAGTACAAATGCCATTTATAAAATTGAGGCTCAAATGCCACAGCTCCATAGAAACAAATATCTGTAACAAAATGCACCCAATAGCACTGTCATCTCAATATGTGAAGAAACGACAGCTATGGTCAATGGTGGCTCCCAAGTTTGATGCTGAACTAATGACACACCAGCTGTGTCTCAATTCATGTGGAAAAAGTACTCAATTTTTATACTTCAGTAAAAGTACAGATACCACACTAAAATGTTACTCAGGTAAAAGTGAAAAAGTACCTGGTTTTAAAAGTACTTAAAGTAAAAAGTATAACTATTGATCTTACATAAAGCAACCTATCTTCTTAAATTCACTGAATACAGGTTTGAATACAGCATTGTAAGTTACACAATCACAATAAGGAAAACTGAGTCGCAAGCGGACAAGTGAATAATTCTACTGTGTGGAGGATTAGCCTGCGTTTTTTCTCTGCTGATATGTTTGTAACCCCTTCAGACCGTCTGACAGACACATAACCCAGTTTGGGACTGTATGTTAGGATGAGACAAGCAGGTGGAAATCGAAACTAACTGAAAACACTTGTAATCAGGCAGAAATCTCACCACAAATCCACAAAGATGTTAACGTCAGGACCTCCAAGAAAGTGCAGTTTCCAGTCCCAGAGCAAGTTTTTAGATGTTTATATTGCAAAACCCTTTCCAGTTATGTCACCACTCAAGTCAAAAACTGGCTAATCCTGACCTCCCTCGGGCCCTAAGCTAAATTCTGCTATGGGGCCCTACTACCTGACTTGTGAGTGATGTAAACAATTTGCCATTGCTGCACAGTCATACCTGACACTGCAGTGCTCTCACTACAATCCTCCCTCTTTTCATACAGTCTGTTTCTGTAATAAACCTGAGGGTCTGTGCTAAGGCTTGGCTGGCTGATGCTGGATGTGGATCCACTGTGCTAGTACTGACTGACGATCCAGCATCTACTCTACTGACAAACTTAAGAATAGCCCCTGTAAATTATAGATAACAGTGCTTGCTCCACTCCTTGAAGGAGCATAAGAATGCATTGGAGTAATTATGCTTATTGTTGCAACAATTTGAAATTCTCAAGTAAAGTACAAATCTGGAAAATTCTGTTCTTAGATTTATTCTTGAACTTAGTCTTAAGATCATTTCTGATTGTGTGCTTTGATTCATAGCAGATAGGATACTGAGCATTCAAATTGATTCTCTTATGTTTAAGGAGTCGACTTACCCCTCATTTTTTGGAAAGTCATATTTTGAAAATAGTTTATTTTAGATCCAAAGGGATTATTCCCAGGGATGCACCACATATTGAAATATATGTACATACATCACTGTCATGTCCTCACTGAAATGCCTCAAGTATAAAGTGGCTCAAATCACCCCTGCTCTCCTACTTCTTTCTAATTCGACACACTATAGAACATTGCATGCTATTTTCAATTCCTCACACCTTTAATGGATTATTCCTATTACATTGATAATTGTTATGGGTGGTGTGGGGACAGAGAGGACCCAAATGCAACGTCCAGCTTTAACAGGTTTTATTGGGAAAAGGGGGTGAGGGACTGGAGTCAAGGGAGAGGTGGATGCCGGGGAAACACAAGTACGGGGAACCGAGGAGACTGGGACCAGAGGGCCGGGGAACACTGGGAGAGAGAGAGAGCACACACAGGGGAGGAGACACAGGGAGGCAGGCAGAGAACAGAGAAAACCAAGGAAAAAGCAGAATAACGATGAAAGGAGAAAAAGCCAGGACACTCACCGTCAGCTGGGCTGCCACCACAACAGATAATGAAGCTAATGCAAAGTTCAACACAGGTTTGGATGCATATCCAAACTGCAATACCCCTACAAAACCAGCACGTCAAGTCTAGACTTTGCTCAAAGATTAGACCACTACCACATCAAAGTAAGGTTTTACTAGTTAAACATGATTTTCTGCATGAGTCATTCTTAGGTTCAAAAATGGTCGAAAGTCAGTTTTATAAATGAGACCCCTTGTTCACTCGCACTGTTCTCATTGCGTAATTTTAGGCTACAGCAACAGATTTTTTCTGAGAACTCACTGGACACTACCCGCTCAGTACCAAACAGCGGACAGACAAAGGGAGAGACTAGTTGGTGAACATAGTGGAGCATTTAACAGCTAAAGAGCCAAATACTTGACTCTGGAGTTGGTGGAGACCAAATACTGTGCTAAGAGAGTTCACATTTGACAGCACCAAATGACTGAAAATGATTTAATTTCTTCCAGTGTGAGCATCTACTGTATGTCCTTTGTGCAATGCATTATGGTAGAAACGTGACCACAAAAAACACAATATGAATTTGGGACACAGCTCTAAAAATGTTTTTCAACTATTGATGATGCCAAGAGATCACCAAAGTATTCATCAGATTTCATCCTCTGGGAACTATGAATGTCTGTACAAAATGATAGTGCAAGTTGTGAAGATGTTTCAGTCAAGACCAAAGTGATGGGCCCACCAGCAGACTAACTTTGTGGTCTCTAGAGCCATGCTGCTAGTGTGCTTAAAACACAGATTGAAAGAGAAGACTGTGAAAAGCAGTGTGGTAGTCTCTAAAGATGATGAAGATGTAAAGCTGTATGACACACTTGGTTCTGTTTCTAATGCTGAACAGGAAAATGCAGCCATGGAGGTAAATTTGATACATCAAGTACAATTGAGCCTAAAGGTGGGATCAACAAAGACACGTTAAGCTCGAACCATGGACATCTCCACATTACAGCAGCAGATTTGGCGATAGCTGCAACCAGTGAGCTACTAGAGGACGTTCGAAAGGCTGCTGGTGACCGAGTATTCCTACAGTATGTAACCCCCATTCTGCATGTTTCAGTTACACTACTGTAAGAAGACAAAGGGATTTAATCTCTATTTTATATGTCTCTCTCCATTCCTTAGGATGATAGGAATCTCCAAAGGCTCCAGTAACGCTCTTTGTATGTTGTTGTTTTGGTTTATGGTGTGTGTATGTGCATACTTAACACTGTAGCTGAGCTGATTTGTTTAAGCTGTTCTGTGTATATAACGAGAGCAATGTAATCAAATTCCTCATATGTGTGCACATACTCTGCCATTACAGCTGATTCAGATTCTTAGGTCTTGATTGAAATAAAGCATGAGTGATGACGTTAAAGCAGTGAGGACTGTCACTTCCTGAATAATCAACAATAAAGTGGGAACATCATAGGTATCATTTACCCTGGGTCCCCACCACTTTCTGAAATGGCTGGTTTTATTCCCACCACTTTTTCAAAGCCTTTGCTAAACGTTTTCTGAAAATTTGCTTGAAACAAGAAATGTTAAATAACGAATAAAAATTCTATGAGAAAGGTTTAGTTGCACAATAGGAAAACATGAAATGCAATATAAATATAGAAGAAACAGATCTGCCTTGTCCAAAAAAAGTCACTTCTGAATTGTCACTGGCCACATGAATTTTGTTTCCCTTCATATAAATAAAGACATTCCCACCATAAATTGGTGCAGAAAATATCTCTAGAATGCAGGAAATTAAGCCTTCAATTCTCAAAATCTTCTGGGGGAGGAGCCCCAGACCCCTCAATCAAACAGCCTATTTCATCAATGAATATTTCTTCTAAATAGCATTGGAGTATCTTGTTGTCTTGGTGTTGTGACTCCAATATTGTGCATTATCACTTCTCGTGGACTAAGCGTTTCGTTACATGCCTAATATGAGCTCTTAAATGTCCCCACCACTTTTCAACACAAAGTGAGGCCCTTGGGGAACATAAAATGAGGCCTCTGTTTACATTCTTGTACCTTTCCCTGATCTAGGCAGGACCTTAACGACCCAAACTGGACTGGTCTAAGTTTTTGTCCTCTGAAGTGAAGTAAAAGGGATGTTTGTGCCTTCAAATGTATAATTTGTTCTTCATCTACTTGCCTGCAAAACTGTAACTAACTCAATATAATAATCCAGTGTGTGCTGTCATGTGTATTATACTGACGAATAAAATAATTTCTTCCTCCTGAACCCCAGATTGTGTATCTCATGTTCAGAAAACTGAGCAATGAACCACTGAACAATCTGCTGCTAATTCCAGCTAATTGGGTGTGAATGCTGCAAGCATTTGCATCCTATGTTGTTGCTAACCTTTATTATTATTCTTCCGTCACGTTTTTTTCATGCGCTAACTAGTCCCACAGCTTTTGACGTAGAAATGGGGTGCTATTACTTTTGTCATAGATACCTTGAATATTTTCCAAATTATTCAAGGTTTTCCAGGAAAATTCTCCCATTGTAAGTGAATGGAGAGACTGTCAAAATCCTCCTCATACCTACTCCACTTTGAAAGCTCACCAGTTCAGCATACTTTCAGCTACAGACTTGATTTAAACTGTAAATTGGTTCACGGTCGCTGTCGAAGTTTTATGGTTTTTTGTGCTCTTTTCTGAGTTTATAATGGGTGTGTATTGCGTGAGTTCGAGTGGTTGACATCATCACTACAGTGTAGCAGGCTTGCAAAATCTTCTTAGATTTTCTTTTTAACTCGCTGGCTTGACCACAATTTTAACTCTATAAGCATACTATATACTAGAAATGTAGGTATTTTTGTTGTGGTTCCTCACATGTGCTTATTAAATCCCTCGGACTTATAGATTTGTCTCTGTGTCCTTCCAAAGGACAAGAGTGACAGAAAATCCTCCATAGGCTTCAATAGTAAATTCTCAACATTTCTTGACCAGAGCAGAACGTACCAGTTTTTCAACTCGCCGAAGTGGTCCCTTTTTTCAACTTTATCCACACAAAAAATATATCCTGTTGTTCAGAAATGCCTTCTGCCGCTCCCGGTCAAGTCATTTTGTCGATGCGACCTATAGTTTAGTCTCTGAGGTGGTTTGTTTGAGGCAAAGTCTCAGAGAAAGTTTCCTATCTGTCTATATAGGATAGCTGGTTGCCCAGGTGATGTTAATAAGCAGAGAGAGATCAAAGGGAGACGCACACTCACACACATTCTCTCTCTCACGCATACATACTTGGTCCTGTGTTCCGATTGGTGGACAGACGTTAAGCTATTTCTTGAATTAAGTCAAGTGTACTGCATCCAGAGTACTGCATCTGCTACTACAACAACTACTACTGCACTAATTACTACTACTACTACTTGGTACTACAACTAACACACACAGAGAGACACAAACAGACACACACACACACACACACTGTTCCCTTCATTGGAAACAGTTGGGTCTCTGTGTCTCACAGTGTCACAGTCTTATAGTCCACCTGTCTCTCTCACAGTCCGTCTCACAGTCTTATAGTCCACCTCTCTCTCTGACTCACAGTCCGTCTCACAGTCTTATAGTCCACCTGTGTCTCTGTCTCACAGTCCCTCTCACAGTCTTATATTCCACCTCTCTATCTGTCTCACAGTCCCTCTCACAGTCTTATATTCCACCTCTCTATCTGTCTCACAGTCCCTCTCACAGTCTTATAGTCCACCTGTGTCTCTTTCTCACAGTCAGTCTTACAGTCTTTTAGTCCACCTTTCTCTCTGTCTCACAGTCAGTCTCACAGTCTTATTGTCCACCTGTCTCGCAGTCCATCTCAATCTTTTAATCCACCTTTCTCTCTGTTTCACAGTCTGTCTCACAGTCTGTCTCAGTCTCATTGTCCACCTGTCTCTCTGTCACACAGTGCACATGTATGCATAACAGTGCGCACGCACACACACACACACACACACACACACACACACATACACACACATACACACACATTAAAGGAGACTTATTAGGCTTCTTATATTTTCTGTCTTATGTAACTCTAACAACTGGCAACTCCTATGCTTAGCCTGTCTCGGCTGCTGAGCGGCATAATCATCCTGCTTCAGGATCTCGGCCAATCAGAACACAGTGGGCTGCTTGTTTAAGAGAGAGGCTGAAATGAGAGCTTGCATGAAGTTTAGCAATTCAGTTTAGCATTAGCATCCAACAGCCAGCATTCACACTGCAATTTCTCCAGAAATTGTACTGTCTAGTTAATTTTGGATTTCATCACAACAATGGAGGACAGTCAAAATCACTTGACTGCAGACTTTGGGACCAGACTGGCAGAATGGTACCTCAAAAGCAAATGTTGAAAATGAGAATAGACAAAGATCTTTTTAAACCAATCTTCCTCAAGTATAGCTTTAAAGCTGATGATACACGGGGCAACTTTTTGAGCAATGTTGCTGGGCAATCTTGCTAGTGGCAAGTCTGACTATGTTTTGAACGGATAGTGGCGGTGCTGTGCGGGTGGAGGAGTGGTGCACTGTAAAAACTGAGACTAGGGTTAATTAATATTTAGTAAATAAATATTAGTAACCTATACATAATAAAAAATACTATGTTCAGTTTGGAATCATGTTGAGCTGAATTCAACAAATTTTTATTATTTATTAATTACATTTTACTCAATTTAGTTTGAATAAAATCAATTATGAATCACTAAGTAGAATTTAATTATATTTAATCAGGAAAGTCAAAGATGCAGAAAATGTATTAATTTTACTCATTTGGAGGTCTTTGGTTTTAATCATCTTACACTTCCACCCAAGCTGCTTTGCACCACATGGACATCGTCATCTGCCACATTTGTCAGGGACCACCATCTTCTCAAAGGTAAGACATGTTTCATTCGGTTTAATTATTGTTAGTTAATGAAAATTGTATAACCAAGCTGCTGTAACAGGTTGCAGCTGAACATGCTTTACTGCAGGTTACTAAACATTCCAACTGTAGTATGAACAATCCAGTTGCTGATCGTGTGTTTGGAAGCGGGGAGCCCAGCCTTGGGGGACCCGAAACACACCAGCAACTGGTCTGCTTTCCTCCACCGGGAAGACCTCAGAGTGTAAATACTCAGTGCTCTGACAGGGCAGAGCAGATGAAGTCTCCCGTCCTCCGCTGTCATATGAGGTGGGGGATGAAACGCCTGCAGCACCGTGACCCCGGGCCAACCTGGATGGGACCTTAGGGACATAGTCCGGACAGGGGTGCAGGATGGCTCTGACCCTCCCCGGGGCAAACTCCAGGCATTGCGGAGAAACCGAAAGTGCCTGGAGATCCCCCACCCTCCTCAGAGAGGTGATAGCGAGGAGAAAGGCCATCTTAAGGGTCAGGTGCTTGGCCTCAGCCGACTCCAGGGGTTCGAAGGGGGCCTTAGTCAGCGCTTCAAGAACCACTGCCAGGTCCCAGGTGGGAAGCCTGGACCGAGTCACGGGTCTCATCCTCCGGGCTCCACGGAGGAAGCGCACGACCAGTGGAAGCTTCCCCAGAGGCCCATCCCTCAGAGGGGTGTGGAACGCCGCCACGGCAGCCACATATACCTTGAGTGTGGATGGGGAAAGGCCAGCAGAGAAACGGTCCTGGAGGAACTCCAGTACCATAGTCACCGGGCAGGTAACTGGGTCCACCGCTCGTTCTCTGCACCAGGCGGCAAACACATTCCACTTTAGGCCGTACATTCTTCTCGTGGATGGGGCTCTGGAGCTAAGCAGCGTCTCGACTGTTCCTGCTGTGAGGCCCGCCTCCAGGAACTGGGCCCCCTCAGGGGCCAGACCCACAGTCTCCATAGGGCGGGGCAAGGGTGAAAGACCTGGCCCTGCGCCTGAGACAGCAGATCCTTCCTCAGAGGGACCTGCCATGGTCCACGTCTATGGGGCCGAACTCTTCGCACAATAACTCCACCACCTCGGGGTGGAGTCTCCATTCCCCGGGTCTCAGCCCCTGTCTCAACAGCAGGTCTGCTCCTTGATTCTGGGTCCCAGGGATGTACATCGCTCTGAGGGACAGCAGTCTCTGCTGGGACCACAGGAGGATCCGATGCGCCAGCTTGCATAATGGGTGCGAGCGCAGACCCCCCTGGTGATTCAAATAGGCCACCACCGCCGTGTTGTCGGTCCTGACAAGGACGTGGCGACTGCGGAGAGCGGGCAGAAAACTCCTCAGAGCTCTGAAAACCGGCAACATTTCCAGGCAATTTATGTGCCAAGAGAAATTATGCTCCTGCCAGGAGTATCTCGCGAAGCGGCCGTCCATGACCGCGCCCCATCCTATGAGTGAGCCGTCTGTCGAAATAATTGTCCGGCGACATGACGCTCCCAACACGGGCCCTTGGGACAGGAACTGGGACGACGGCATCAACCGCCTCGCCAAACAGGCCAGAAGTCGCGATCGGTGCGTCGAGGAGAAAGGTCTTCTCTTTGGTTGAGGTTGAGCCATAGGTGCCGTTCCGTGGCTACCAGAGCTGACATGGAGCGACCAATAGCGCGGGCCGTCTCCTTTGTGACTCTTAGTGACAAGTCTGTAGCTCGGCGGAGCTCAGCAACATCCTCCTCAGAGGGGCCTGCTCCCGAGTCTATGTCCTTCAGCAGATCGGCCTGGTATGCCTGCAAAACCGCCATTGTGTGCAGGCTTGCACCAGCCCGGCCTGCCGCCATGTAAGCTTTGCCCACCAAAGCAGATGTCATACGACATAGCTTGGTAGGTAGCGCCGGCTCTTTGAGGGATGATGCATGACCAGGCGAAAGACCAGAGCATCCTCAGCCCGGGGCATCAACCCATAGCCAAACCCCTTGACTCCCGCTACGTCGCTGTAGACCCGGAGCGGGGGAGTAGTCAGACGAGCTGAGAAGGGCTTATCCCAGGACTTGCACAACTCATCATGCAAGTCTGGAAAAAACGGCAGAGAACGGTGCGGAGGCGGCGCACGGCGCTGCAGAAAGGGCTCATCCAGTTTGCTTGTAGCATGTGTCTCTGGTACATCCTGTGGCCAATCGAGCTGGAGCTTGCTCACTGCCCGCGTCACCACCTCTAGGAGTTCGTCATAGCTGGGTGCAGACTGATGACGCTCTGCTTTTCTCTCCCGGAAGTCTTCCTCCTCCATGATGCTAAGCACGTCTAGCTCCTCAGAGCCAGATAGCTGTAGCCTCTCCTGGCTCATACCTCAAGCGGGAGAAACCGCGAAGCGGGCTCCCGAACGAGACC